AGAAAAAAAAGAATCTGGAGGAGAGAAACTGAGACACCTGGCCAACAGCCAGGATTAACTTATTCTTCTATGAGCAGCCATATTGAATATGAAAATTTTAGCTTGAGTCAAGCCGTCAGGACAGCAACCCTGCTGCCACATTTGACTGCAACCTCACAAGAGACCTTAGGCCGTCTGGCTATCCTTCTTTTAATTTTTGAATCAAAGAAACTGTGAGAAATTAGATATTTTTAGGGGGGTTGTTTTGTTTTTAGTAACTGATTTGCCACCTCATTTCTCATAGTTTCTTGATGGTACAAAACCTGATCTTAATGAAAATGGGTACTGTCTCAAGATTTCAGTTTGTAACTGATGACAGCACCTTCTGAGATGACAATTACTCCCTCAAACTATAGGAAAGTCTTTACAAATCAATCAATTGAAATGTGTTGAAGACATGTTGTCTGCCACATTGTATGTATAAATATTAAAGGCACTGTTAGGCCTATAAGTGCTTTGAGATTTGTTTTTCATCTTACACATAGCTCACTTGTTAGAAAGGATTTTTTTTTTGTTAGAAAGGATTTTAACTGCTATGAAATTTAAACTGGAAACAAATAGGCCATTTTTTTCCCTTGACTTTTCTAGAAAGAAAGGACTGGGGAATGGGAAAGAGGCAAAAGAAGGAATACCAATAAGTTTTTGAGATGTTTGGGTTGAAGGGAAAGTGAGAAGGAGCAAAGGGATCAGGGATGGGGTCTAATCCTGGTGATTGTGATCATTATTTGGGTTCCATGCAGTTCCCTTGAAGCATCTGGGCCATTCATTAGTTTAATAGTGCATACAGTAAAGTTTAGCTTCATGAGGAAGCAACCTTCTCAATACAACCGTCAATACTTCTAGACTCAGTTCCCTGAGGAGTTCTCATAGTTCCCTGTAGAAAATAAATTTTCTCTTTGAGACTCTCTGTTCTGATTTTTTTCTTGAAAAGGTAAATGCAATGTTGCAAGTTTATGAAGGTAAATTTCATTCTGCCAGGTTCTTTTTTCTGAGAGTGAGCAGGAAGCTGCAGTTTCCTGTCTTCCATCTGAGCAAAGACCTGTCTAAGCAAAGTTACTTAGCTTAGACTCTGTTAGGTGGAAACTCTAGAAAGAACTGATGATTAACATTTAAATTGAGGAAAACAAGACAAAATAGGTGAATTGTTTCTTTAAGAAATGATTTGGCCTTGTAAAAAAAAGCCTCTTTTAATAAGAACAAGATAATATTCAGTTCAGCAAGATGAGTTTCTTCCACATGCCAGCTCCTCATGGTCCCGCCTTTCAGGAATTTCCCATTCTGGAGGAAAAGTCAGGTTTGTAGGCAGATACTTGCAATAAGATGTATTTTATTCCTTAATAGAGACATATGTAAACAACAGCATTGTTGGGGTTTTTTGTTTGTTTGTTTTTTAAGTGCAATAGGGAAAGGCTTGCTTCTAGGACTCCTTCCAGTGAGTTTTGTAGGTTGGAATAGAGTTTGCTACATGGTTGGGGAGAGACACAGAGATAAAGAGAAAAACCTCAACAAAGGTTTAGGGCTGTGAATCTGCTACATTTATGGAAAGTCATGGATTAATGAAAAATATGTGCATATGGTATTGTACTGGACACTGGGAATACAGTGATAGAAAAGGCAAGTTCCTATCCTCAAGTCCAGTGGTGGAGGGAAATGAATGAATGAACGAATGAATGAATGAGTGAAATGAGGGGTGAGCATGAAGACATGAGAGAACATAATGCAGGGGCAGCCTGGAAAACTCAGGAAGTTTTCTGAAAGAGGGGTGTTCAAGGTGCAGACAAGGGGTGAGCTGTGGCGGCGTGGGAGGGATAACGAAAGGCATTCCAGGCAGTCTGCTTCGGCCAGGAGCTGTGCAAGCACCTCATACATTGGGAGCTACAAATTGACCATACGAAGTGCAAGAAGGGCAGATTCTGGGTATGTCATCTGAAGAATTTACAGTGTTTCCAATGATAGAGTTGCAGGCAGGGAAGCACAGGGTCAATCTCTTGAGGAGAGAGATAGCTGTGTTGCTGTGACTTCAGACTGAAAGAGGATCAGTTAAGAAGTTGCTGTGGCTACCCAGGCAAGATGTGGGAGTGACATTAACAGAGGAGGACTGCAGGGATGAAACGAACAGCTGGATTTGTGTGAAGGAGGTAGACACACAGGTGAAACCTGGAACCAGACTCACTGGTTTTCATCCCAGGTGAACCCTTCACAGCTGAGTGAATGGGGCAGGCTAGTGGTCTTCTTGGTGGCCTCTATTGCTTTCTCTGTGACATGGAAAGAATATAGTATCCACCATTAAGGTGGCTGTAAGGAGTGAAAATTAATATCTGTCTGGCACATAGTAAGAGCTAAATAATATGCAAATTTAAGATTAAAGGGGAGATAATTAATATATGACACCTGCATTTGGGGTGATGACAAGGACAGTCATGTGATGATGATGCTTGTTACAGAAACGGAGGAAGCAAGTTTTGGGGGGACAAACTGGGATTGAGCTTCCCAGACAACTTAGCAGAATCATCTTGTAGGTGGTTGAACATGTCTGAGTGTAGGAGAGAACAGTTGGATGAATCCTGTGTTGGGGTTTTATCGCACAATGAAAAGACTTATATCAGGCTGTTGACATTGCAAGATTGGAGGGCAGATATAGACTGGAGAAGGAAGAGTAAAGGAAGGGCAGGCTGAGAGAGAGTGAGCCAAGGAGAGCCACGTAATAAAAATGCAGGACGTGGGAAGCAGCTATAGTGGAAGCAAGGGAAGGGGAGGGCAGACTGTGCTGGAAGGTGTGGCCAGGGGTGGTATGAAGGGCGGGGCCTTCCCCCCAACTTTGCCATAGTGTTTCTCAAGTATTAGTTTTACTTTAAATTTTTGGCTGTTGTACGGCCCTTTCACTGATAGCCCTTGCTTGCAGTTCCTCACAAGCTCTCACTCTCATGCTCAGCTGGTTAATAATTGAATGAACAAGGCTGTTTTCTGACAATAGTCCCCGCTTTCTGGATATGGCATAATTGTGTTCTTACAGAATATGGAATCTCTACATTTCTCCATTCTCCAGCTGACTGACTGATAAGGGCTAGAGGCTTGATTTTGGTTTAGTCTTTTGTTAAATAGTCTACCTCGGTGGGCCACTTATGATTACATCAGAGGCACAGAATGTGTCTGACTTCCACTCTTTCTGTGAACATGTTTTAGAGGTGCAGGTATTATTAGTCTAATTGAGCCATTATAAAATTCTTCAGCAATATCTTTCAATAATGGCTTTAGCATTGATGGTTCTGCGGTTCATTACGGGTTGCAAAATGCTGCTTATTTTTCAATGATTTCATCTTCATTTATTAGGTGGAATTCTTCTGTCATACCAGTTGTTTATTACATGGGGACACATTGCTGTGTGTGCTTGGGGTTCACACAGTTTCCTTATTGCTACCCTAATCTTTTGTGCATGTCTTCACTTTTACTTTAATCTTAGCTCTACAGTTAAATACATGAAATGCTCATTTTTCTCTCCATTTGCTGAAGATCCCCAGTTACTTGGTTAAATGAAACTGCTTCTTTAGGAAGGGAAGACTTCAGTAGTCCCTGAGTTGATTTTTTTTTCTTTTTGGGTCACACCCAGCGATACTTAGGGTTTACTCCTGGCTCTGCACTCAGGAATTACTCCTGGCGGTGCTTTGGGGGACCATATGGGATGCTGGGAATCGAACCCGGGTCAGCTGCGTGCAAGGCAAGTGCCTTACCCGCTGTGCTATCACGCCAGTCTAAGTCCCTGAGTTTTTTTTTTCATACTGAAAACTCAGTAGTCGAAGCTTTTGAAGCCTCAATAGTCGAAGGAGAGATTGGCTGCACAGCAGATTCTGCTCATAAGCTGCACATAAATCTTTGAAAAGTAACATTTTCAAAAAATTTTAAAGGTTTTGGAAACTGCTGCCCTGTGGATTTTTACATTTTGGTAGGATGCTCTTCTGAAATTTGGTGATACCTGTCTCTCTTGGTCTTTGTATGTTATTTTATCTTTTTATTTAGCCTGGAGACTAAAAGGAATTTTAATTTTTTAGAAGATTTTATAGTTATCTAAAATAGAGCTAATCAATTCCTTCTTTTCCTCCCTCTCTCTTTCCTTCCACCTGCCTTTCTTTTCTTTCTTTCTCTCTTCTCTTTGTTTCTTTTATTTTAGCAGTTGTTTCTCTGATCTTTTTATTCTTTCTTAAAATTTCAAATTCATTCTCTTAGGTGTTTTAGTCCTTCAGTGAGACTTTTGCATTTTTATTCAATTCTGTTTTCCTTTATGTACCATCTTCTCTTCTGTTTTGGTCTGTCTTGTGGATGTTTTAATGATTTGAGGTTGTTTTCTAAACATTATATCAAGTATTTAAATAACATAGCCGACTATCACCCAACATAAATATTCCTACTAAGTCATAGATGAGCCCCCAAAGTCTTAAGGGGCCTGCTAGAAGTTTTAAGGAAGGATAAACAAAATGAAGATGCCATTTTTCTTTGGTTTGAATATTACGTGGCTCTGTAAAGCCTAGTTTATGACTATAAATGTTAAAACTTTTCCAGAGATGTTCTCTTCTCCACCTTTCTCACTACCATGACACAATCCTCCCAGCTGACGTCTTATGTGTATTCAGTTTCCAGGGTTGATGTCATGAGAGAGAATAGTTAAATAATCAGATAAAGGAGCAAGTTGTGAAGAGTATTTATTGCATAGTGTTTATTCCTCTTGGAAGAAGATTAAAGTATCAGAGTATAGGAACTGCAAATATTTCCACATCTTCCCAGAGTTTTTTCCAGAGTCAGAAAGCTTGTTTAAAGGGTTCTAAACTCTGGAATGAACTTGCAAGCTGTTGATGTGTGTTGAAGTTCACTATTTTCTAAGCTATGTTGTATTTTAAAATATTTAAAAGTGGTGCCTTGTGTTTAGGAATTAACTATTTGTTCTAAAGCTTTTTTTTTTTTTAATTTAGATAAGGAGACAAAATAACTGAAAATGACAAGTAGATTTGAGCATTCTAAGGGAGCAGTTCAGATGGAGATGGTCAGAATGCCTAAAAAGACCCCCAGAAAGATTTTGACACCCCGGAATCCAAGGCTGGTCCCAGAAGAGGAAGTAAACAGAATGGTAACGTATTGGAGAATTTCACTGGGGCTTGTCCAATACTTCTTCCTCAAGAGATGGAGAGTTGCTACAGGCATTGTCATACTATCAGAGAACTGCTGACAGATAATACCAGGGTATCCAACATGGTAGTTTGCTCCAGGGCAGTCACCCCCTAAAGGCCAAGAAAGTCTGCAAATTACAAATTACACGCATCACAGTAGTGAGTTGAATTGCTTGAGTTAATCAGCAGGAATAAGATTATTTAAGAAAACTAGTAGGGCTTCTAAATATTAGGTGGAATCTTATGTGATTATCATTTGTGTTTTGTTTGTTTGGGGGGCCACATTGGCAGTGTTCAGGGCTTACTCCTGGCTCTTATTCGTGGCTTCCTCAGGGATCACTCCTGGTAGGGCTCTGGAGACTGTATGGGGTGCCAGCAGTTGACCCTGGGTAGGATGCGTGCCCTGCCTGCTTTTCTATATCACTCCAGCCCCCATGATTGTCATTTGTGAAGTTCAAAAACAATCCAAAAGTAGGATTTCATAGAGTTTAACCTAAATGCTCTGTTTATAAGGCAACAGTGATTCATATTTATATATTTGTCAAATGGAGAATATTAATATGCCATTTAAGAAAAAATTATCTGTTCTTTAAAACAAAGAATATATAGTAATTGTTGAGAATTAAATTATAAACTACATACATTAGAAAAATAGCAATTTACAGTGCCAGAGATGGTATTTACTACTTTCAATTTTTTTTCCTCAAGTTATCTTCTTATTAGAAAAACTAACTTCTCATTCTTTTTTTGTGGTGGCTGTTTTGTTGGTTATATTTAAAATAATTCCCTTTGAATTTAAGAACTTATTATTTTTACTTTGAGCTATATTATAACTGACATCTCTTAACATTTTGGTCTTTGAATCTGGCTCCAGTCAAAAAGAACTTGAGAACCCAAGTTGGATGCTGTCACAGAAATTAATTTTGGTAGGGAATTTGAAGAGCATTGATTTTAACCCAAGGCAAAAATGAACTAAGTCAAACTCTGTACCTTTGCCTGTTTGAAAAGCTTGGCACATACTTAAGCATTATTTTGCTGCCAGTGGTCATGATGTCTTTGCATGTAAAGTAGGCCCCAGAACAATGAGAACATTCCAGAATAAAAATAACTCAATGATAGTGATTGGTCCTAGTTAACTAAATCCCTGTTGGGTTAGTTTTACCAAAGCTATGTTGTATTTTTTTTCTAGTATTTGAAAGGATTATAGCATTTTGTGTTCATATGTGGGTCAGTCAATATGACAGACTACTAGGTCTATGGCTGGTTTACAAGCTCTTTTAAAACAAGGATCAAATGTGCTCTTAATGTTTTTTAAGAAGCTCAGACTTACTCCTTTTTAGTAAGTTATGCTTTGAAGACCTTTCACATTTTAAGAACTTTACTTTACTTTTACAATATGATGGCTAGATATCTATAAAAATGTTGCTTGCATATTGTAACATCATTTAGGAAATAGCAATATTTCAGACTCCTTAGCTATGATACTTATAAGTGATTTTAGAAATTTAGAGTTTCATGCTCAGATCTCTCTTCTGAGCACAAACATTAAGCCCTTTGGACATATTCTTGTGCAGTTTCCTGCTTCCCCACTCCATATTCCTTTATGTCATTTCTTCAAAATCTCAGGGAAACAGCAGGCACATGTCATTTCAAATTACTGTGCAAAGAGATTTAAAAAAGTACCTTCTCTTGTATTATATAGTTATTTTAAATATTTTATAAAGGAACTTAGTGGTCTTCCAGAATTATCTTGGAAGCTGCAAAACACAAATTATTCATTATTAGCACTCATGAAGACACATTTTCAGTATAACCACTTATGAATCTTTTGTGTCTGTTGTTTTAAAATCTAGTTGACACCCTCAGAGTTCCTGAAAGAAATGTCCCTGACCACGGAGCAAAGACTGGCTAAAACACATTTCATGTGCCGACCACAGATCATTGAGCTGTTAGATATGGAGGAGACAACCCATCAAAAGGTAGCTGCTTTCTGTTACCTTTATGTACAAAGTAGCATTCTAGAACAACAGCATTAAAAGCCAAGTCGGTTATTATTTTTAGACTGATAATCTCTTACTGGGTTTGTTTTATTTACTCTTTTTTTCTCCTGTTGATCTTGATCTGTGGGATTTGTATATGAGTATAATTAAAGTAAAAAGTACAAGTTCCTAAGGGGTGTGTGTGTGTGTGTGTGTGTGTGTGTGTGTGTGTTACTTTGGGTCATGCTCGGCAGTATTAGGGGCTTACTCCTGGCTCTGTGCTCAGGCAACTATATGTGGTGCCAGGAACTGAACCCGGGTTGTTCGCATGCAAGGCAAGAGCTCTAACTTCTTTACTATCTGTCCAGCTTCCCTCTTGATTAGCCATATTCCTTACATAGCTAATTTCTGTATAGCTTTGTTTAGATGTTAGGAATAATTAAAAAATTATATTCATGAAGTCCAATTAAGTTATCTTCTTGAAGGAATAAGTAATCTTTCCTTACCTGATGTGATTACTAGAAAGGATAAGGGTGAAATTGTTTATTAGAGTAGATGTTTGTTGTCTATTTTGGCTCATTTCCAAAAAATAAGTGTAGTCTTTCAACGTCTAAAGAATAGTCATTTTAATATGCTTTTATATTCTAATATAAGCCATATGTTTTAGAGTATAGAACCACATGTTTGTAAAATAGGTTTTTGTTTCCTATGAATTAATATGTTTCATTCTTTATGCATAAGTTATGATATGGAAAGGGTCATATGTGTGTGTGTTGTTCCCTCAACCCCACCCTTACCTTGCTGTTCCTAAGAGTGGTTTTGATTTATTCCTACAGGGGAAAAGGTTCCTTGAGTTTCTCCTGTTTCAGCCATGCATAACATTTGCTGCTCTTCAGAGCTCTGGTAGCCTTAATTGTTTCTTCTCTTCCCCATGATTGAGGGTTGAAAACTGGACAATTTCCAAAGCTGCGTTAACCTAATTAATAGCAATTAGCTCCTTTTTGTGAATATAAATAAAACCAGATTCTACACTTCTTTTTTTTCTGTGTGTGCTTGTTCTACTGTATTTGAATTCCTTTAACGGAAGCAGGGGGTCACTATACTTTCAACTCTTTGTTTCTTCTCAACTCACTTGACTAGTTTTTATTTTTATTTTGGGGAGTTTTTGCCTTTTTTTTTTGCTTTTGTCTTTTAGTTGGGTTACAGTCATTCTCTAAGAAGTACTTAATAATACTGTATTTCTTTGGTCTTATATATTTGATATTATTTGTCAATGCTTTTATACAGGGATTTTATACAGGGCTTTTTTTTTTTTTGGTACTTATTCCCACATTTTCCCCATAAGAGGCTTACATGCATTTTCCTCACTCCCTTCTGGCTTGTATGGTGATATAGGCAGACTTTTGAAAATAGCTTAATTTTCCACCATGTAGGTAAAAGGTAAAGGTAAAGGCCCTCCCGTTCATCGATTTGCTCGAGCGGGCCCAGTAACGTCTCCATTGGAGATTTTGTTGTTACTGTGTTTGGCATATCGAATACATCACGGGTGGCTTGCCAGGCTCTGCCGTGTGGGCGAGATACTCTCGGTAGCTTGCTGGGCTCTCTGAGAGGGGCAGAGGAATCGAACTCGGGTTGGCCATGTTGGCTACGTGCAAGGCAAATGCCCTACCACTAATTTTTTTAACTTGTCTCCCTAGTGAGTTGTGTTCTTACTTAATATTAAATAATTTTATTAGAATTAAATGTTTCATTAGAAACTTTGTGTCTCCATTTCTTTCTAGAAATTTTCCTTTGAATTATCAAATATTTTTTCAAGCCATCTTGGTTCTCTTTAGGAGCACTAATTGTGAACATGCTAGATTTTTTTTCCTCTTCTTTCTTAAAATCCTCTCAATTCTTGTTGTTGCTACTGTTCTGTACACACACACAATGCCCAAGGCCTACTCCCAGCACAGTGATCAGGGTCCATTTTCTCTAACTTCTGCTTTATTATAACTGCCCTCATCAGACTATATCCTGTGTCCCTTATTTTGCATTTTGTGTGTATTTTTTTTAAATTAACTCCTGCTTGGCTAGGCAGATCGGGGTTATCTTACAGTATTTGACATGGTGTCTTTTTTTTGGTAGTTGTTCTGTCCTTAAGCACTTATATCCCAGTAACCATGGGATTTTGTCCTGTCCCCCACTCCCCAGTTCATTGGTTATTTCCTTGTCCTATTAGTTGGCCTCCTAGTTTCATGCCATGACACCCCATTTACAGTCTTCATCTATTCCCCACAAATATCTTGGGAGCCCATGGGATATCATATGGCCTTCTGGGGAGAAATATTGATCTAGAGAACCAGTATGTTCACATCTCATCACTCCATATCCAGTTATCCACACGAGATTTTAGAGTGTAAATCAGATCAGATTTTTCTCAAGTTTAAAACCATGTAGTGCCATTCTCTCCCCCTCAGAGTTATATTTGATATTATTTGTCATTATTTATGTTATTATTTATTATTGGCACAGCGGGTAGAGCATTTGCCTTGCACGCAGCCCATGTGGCCAACCCGAGTTCGATTCCTCCGCCTCTCTCGGAGAGTCTGGCAAGCTACTGAGAGTATCTCGCCTGCACAGCAAAACCTGGCAAGCTACCTGTGACATATTTGATGTGCCAAACACAGTAACAATAAGTCTCACGATGGAGATGTTACTGGGCCTGCTCGAGCAAATCGATAAACAATGAATGGGAAGACAGTGCTACAGTGCTACAGTTATGTTTTTATTTGGGCCATTATTTATGGCCCAAATTGTCTCAACCTTGCATCCCCCAGAGACTCCTTTGCAGTGTCTTCCTTCTACTTTACCACAGCTTATTCTCTTCTCTCTGTTTTAAACTTCCATTTTAGGCACTGTGGTTTACAATACTGATAATGGCAAGGTTTCATATGTAGAACATTCTAGCACCACACCCTGCACCAGAGTGTCAGCTTCCCTCCACTACTGTCCTAGTGTTCTTTGCCACCCCTCCCCCAACTTCTGTTTGCCTCCATCCCCCTGCATTGATATGCCTCCTACTGAAGATCAGTTCTCAGTTTCTGTTGCCTTTGGAAATTTGTTATTTTCTTAATATTTTTCTTTATGTCCCAACTATGAGGGAGATCATTCTGTATCTGTCCCTCTCCTTCTGACTAATATTTCTCAGGATAGTACTCTCCAGATTCATCCATTAGCAGAAAATTGTATCTTTTTATCTGTTTTAAAAAAAATAGTAGAGTAGTATTCCATTTTGTATATGTACCATAGTGTTTTTATCCAGTCATCTGTTCTTAGACGTGAGTTGTTTCCAGAATTTGACTATTGTGAGTAGTGCTGCAATTAACATAGGAATGCAAATGTCTTTTCTGAGTAGTTTTTGGACCCTTGGACTAGATATCAAGAAGTGAAATTGCTGGTTCATATGGAAGACTGATTCCTAGTGTTTTGAGAGTGTCTATCTTGTTTTACAAAAAGATTGTGCCAACTGGCATTCCCACCAGAAGTGAAAGAGTCCCCTTTTCCCTACATCCTCACTAATTCTGGTTGTTTTAATTTGGTGTCAGATGATATTTCATTATTGTTTTAATTTGCATTTTCTTGATGATCGATGCAGAGTATTTTTTCCCCTAATACCTTTTGGCCAGCACTTGTATGTCATTTTTAAGGAAGTTGCTATTCTTTTCTTACTAAGCTCCCATCCTGCCATTCTTCAAATGCTTAAAGACAGTCCCTCCCTAGTAAAATGAGTACATGTACTATTTCTTTGCAGGAATAGTAATGCTCTCCTGGAACTATGCCTCCTTGTCTTTTCTTTAGTGAGGCCAGCCCTTGGCTCCTTGTCTACAGGCTGCCCATCCCCATTGCTCTATCTCTCCTGCTTCTCTACTTATTCCTACCTCATCAATGCCTGATTTCAGAATTCCTTTGTCTTTCTATTTCACTGTGGGTGGTCTTCACTGGCTTTTCTCACTACAGGATGCTCAGTCTATAGAAAAATTGAAACTCAATTATTATTTACTGAAGGAATATATGAATTTCTCATCTCTTCTGATTTCTTATATCTTCTGTGCATTCCTGAATATTTGTTTTTCCTCACTGGTTTTCCTCAATTATGTTCTTTGAATTTATGTTGGAGTGGTAGAGTTAAGATTTCCATTGCTGGGCTGGGACGATAGCTCAGAGGGCTAGAGCTCAGAGCCCTGGGTTCAGTCACTAATACCACATGGTCCCCCAAGCACTGCTGGGAGTGGTCTGAGAAGTGCCCCCAAACAAAAAGACTATTTTTATATCTTGGCAATGCTTTTCTGATAAATATTTATCTGCCACTTTCTTCGTTCCAGCCTCCTTCTCTCTCTCTCTCTCTCTCTCTCTCTCTCTCGCTCTCGCTCTTGCTCTCGCTCTTGCTCTCGCTCTCTCTCTCGCTCTCTCCCTCCCCACCTCTCTCATTTTTGTACAGGCACTGAATTGATTAATTATTTTGATTATTGTTACCACTCATCTTCAGAAGGAAAAAAAGGAGAGAATTCTTCCTGGACCTCCTGCTTGCAGATAGTTAATGCAGAGAAAGAACCCAGGGGTATTGCAGAGCAGCAGGACTTCAGCTGTGGCTCTCAGCACAGCCCCGTATGAAAGATAAGAGGAGAGGAGAGGGGAGGAGAGAGGAGGAGAGAGAGAAAGTGAGTGAGTGTGAGAGAGGACAGAGAGAGAGAGGACAAGGAGAATGTGTGAGGGGGATGAGACAAAGGGAGGGGGAATGATCCGTGTTAGCCTTTACTTCTCCCTGAGTTCTGACTGTAGGGAATTATGACTCAGAGCCCCTCTCAGTGACAGATTGCTTCCTATAAATATACATACTTGTGTCTGTCAGTTCACCCCTGCTTTCCCTATTTCATGGTGCCATTAGGCATCTAGGAAATTTCTTGTTGTTACTCTTTGATCTCAACACGTACAACCTGCTTTGTAGATTTGTGTAATGC